GATTTAAAAATCAAAAAATATAGATAAATAATACGTTTATTTTTTTCAATTCAAAAAAGATATTCAAGTTGAAAACTTTTTTTTAACAGAATATTTAAACTCTTTTTAAATTGAAAACGCAAACAGAATATTTAAACAAACTGAAAACACAAAGTCTTATAAATTACTAGGTGTGTTCGCGGTTTGGCAGTTCTGTTGCAGCCAAAAGAATATCAAATTCGCCATCCGTCCGCCAGATTGACGGATTTGAGAAAATCAATCCGCAATTGTCCGCTCGTCATCACGCATCCGTCCAAAATGCGGCGGATCGGTTCGGTTTGGTCGATTTTAGCAGATCGGTATATCCGCTGCTCACCCCTACTATTAAATATGTAAAGAAAAAAAATATATGCAAAGAGAATTTTGAAAAAAAAAAAACCTTTTACTTCACACATTTTTTTGATTACCAATGGTGGTGTACACGAATTTACATTTCATCTAGTATAGTTATATTTTTTTAAATAGAAAAATTCATAATAATATAAAGGAAATAGATATTAGAAAAATAGTATTTCATAGTAAATTTATAAATTGTGTGAATTTATTAACCAAACACAAAAACAGTATTTCATAGTGTATGAGAAAAGTGAGAGAAAGACGTTTGGTATTAGAAAGTTGTAGAACCACTAATATAAAATAAACAAACGATGTATAAATATAATTTGGCTAATGAATAACTAAACAAAAATTGTAACAAAGAAGAAACTTAAACCTAGAATTTATTGAGAATCCCGATGAATGATTTAGATTTAATTTTTAAATGATTGGTCCTACTTCTAAAATAAATCTAAACCACACATGTATTTTCTAGTAAAACAATTTGAATATGTAGAAGTCCCTTCCTTGTAACAAAAGCAAATGTGTGGGTTATTTTGGGAAGATGGTAAAAAGTGACTTTTTGGCTTTTAATCAAGCTTTTAGCTTTTTTAGACAAATGATTTGGGAAGTTGGTAAAAAGTGACTTTTGACTTTTTTGATTAATGTTTGTTTATGATGTCAAATCATAATAAAATGACCAAACTACCCCCATTTATGTAAAATATTTACGACTTCACCTATGTAACACATTTTGACCCATGAGGGTAAAATTGTAATTTCACCGTTGGCTAAAAACCAACTTCCCAAATGAAAAAAAAGACAAAAAAGCCAACTTTTGGCTTTTGCTACAAACCAAAAAAAGTGACTTTTAGCCAACTTCCCAAAATAGCCCTGTGTTATCAAAAAGTGATTGGATTCACTCTTGTACAATAAACAGAAATAAAAGTTGTATATGTGAAAAACAATGAAAAACTTACACTTTATATAAAAGATGAAGTGTCTCTCGATGAATAGATATGTCTATTCAATTTAATTTGTAATGATTTGGAAGACTATTACGATTCGGTCTATATTAAAAATACTTAATTTTTAATTGTTAAAATTAGGTTTGAGTTTACAGTTGAGAAAACTTGACAGTCTCGTGGGGTTCACCGAAAAATTTATTTCAATGATTTGAACCGTTTATTTTGTAAATTCCTTAGAATATATCATTCATAGAAAAAAAATTAGATTGATCTGATAAGCATAACATTTTTATTTTATCACGTCTTTGGAAAAATAGATGGCAAATACATTTTTAAAAATAAACTATTTTTTTAGACAAACACGATAAAATTACACGAAGAGTCGTACAAAATGAACAATTCAGATCATTAAAATAGAAATTGTGGTGAGGCTCATGAGGCCATCAAATTCTATCAAGTTTATATTTGAATTTAGATTTAAATTTTTTAAAAACTCAACCGTAAAGTTATGTATTATTATATGAAAATGTTGGAGATTTACAATTTTATATTTACAAATTCAATTACAATAATGTGACAAAACAATATATATAATTAAGTGTGTATAAATTAAAAATTAACATATATTAGTATTAATTATGTCACATCATTATAGATTAAATTATAATTTTTTTTGAGAGTTTCAAATATTATTATTATTATATGAACTGCTCTAATGGATGAGAACCGTAAAGCATTCACAAAAATTCAAAAATCTTAGTGCCTATTACTACAAGGTGTCTTTGCTATATGGTGCATTTTCAGGGGCAACATATTGAAAAAGGTATTTTAAAAATATAAAAATGTAGAAAACAAGTAAAGTACTCACACATTTAAAATATATAATAATAATAATAACAATAATAGGACAAGTTACAAAAAAAACACCTAGAATTTCACGTGTTCAAGATTTCAATTACATCAATTTAAATTTTCAAATTTCAATAACATTTTAATTCCTATCCTCCGTCTAGTTAACTTTTTTAACAGAACAAAATTTAATAGGACACATGGCACTATTTTACTGGTTCTTTCAATTTTATTTTGATCTCTAACTTTGATTTTGCAGACACCAAACCAGTACCAAAGATTTATCAACCATCAAATAAATCAAGACCCCATCATGAAAGCTACAGTACATTAAACACATGGGATCAACTACACATGGGATCAACTCTCTCTCTCTCTCTCTTTGAATTCTGGCAATTCATGATCGCCAAAGCCTTCCTTTCCTATCCTGAGTGAATGATTCTAATTCCATCTCTCTCTGATCTAATGGTCAGCCACTCCAGAGTAGGGTTGGTTGGAGTGTCCTAAATAAATATATTTTTTAATTTTTTATGAAATATGAGATGTATATAAAATTTGAAGTGGTGTAATAGAGAAATAATATAATTTAAATAAAATGATGTGACTTAAATAAAATGATAATTTTTGACTTTTTTTTATTATGCCAAACCAAATCTAACACTTCTTGTTTCTCTCTCTCTCCAAACACCAAACTAGACTCTCTCTCTCTCAATTGGGTACAAAAACCAAACCAAACACCACACCAGTCTCTGGCAGTAGATTCAACGACCTACACTTTCTCTCTCTACAGGTGAGCCAGCCATGGCCTCATCTTTATCTCTCTCTCTCCCAAGCCATTCTCTCTCGCTTTACCACTCACCCCTATGGATTTTCTAACCCTTCCGACCATTGTCTCTCTCTCCCCACCTTCTGAGACGATGGAGGGGGTAATGAACCTGAGAGGTGTACAAAGGGGGATGGCAGATCTGAGGAAATAGAAATGGGTGAGTGACGATTCCAAAGGAGGTGGTGAAGGCAACGACATATCCGGGGGTGGAGGCCAATGGATTTGAGTGAAGCGGTGACCTGTGAGGGTGAACCATGGTGGATATGAGAGAAGTGGAGGAAGGAGAGGTGGGGAGTGGTGGACTTGAGGGCTAGTGGTTGCAGAAGAGAACTGCCGATGGTGTGGGTAGCGGCAATTTGTTGGTGGCGATGGGCAACAGTGAGGGGGAGGAGATGGTAGGATTCACTTTTTTTATATTATTATTATTGAAAAGGTGAAAAGAGATGGTGGATGATGGAAGAAAGAGACAAGAAACGATTGTATGGATAGGTAGAAGAGAAAGAGAAATGAGTGAATGATAATATGCCAAGTGTGCATTAATTTATTTATTTTTTCGTTGAACAAGTTAACTGTAATTGACGGATGGTTAACATTGATACGAAATAAAGAATTCAGGATTTAAATTGACACAATTAAAATTTTGGAATTTAATTTGAAAGACACATCAAACCCTATAAATATATATATTTTTTTTAATAATTTGTCCATAATAATAATAGATTATTTTTACCTTCATAAATTACATCACAAATTTTAATATCTAAATACAACATAAAGTTTTGGTCTAAGAATAGTAGCGTCTATCATGTACTTACATACAAAATACAACACAAATAAAATTCTTATACAAATTGATGGAGCTTATATATTATGATTATTCGATTTCAAGCCAAAACATCTATTATTTTAGTTTATAGTTTAAAAAACAACACAATCACAATATTGTCGATAATTTTTTTTTTTGGCATAAAAATTATATTTGAAATTAATTTTCTGAAAAATCTGCAATAACTGATGGGATTATATAATTCTCCATTAATAAGATTTGACTTACCAGCTGTCCTTTCATCATCATAGTTTATCCACGTCCCCACATATGTAAGCAAAACTCATTATCATAATTTATAGTTAATAGACTTTTGTTTGTGAAGGTAGTTAAGATGAGCACTTGAGTAGGATTCAATTGAATCCACCTATTGCCTCTAGTTTACGTGGATCCAACAGAAGGCTATAAAAAAAAAATGTATTATTTATATTTAATAAGAAGTGCCATAACCATAACCCCATTATCAAATCATCATCAACAACAAATTGAAGAGGTAGCTCATAAACTATACAATATGCTACCTTATTCAGTTAATGGCCGACCCATTGTGTTGGTGGTTGATACCTACATATCTTAGCATTTGAAGATTGATATAACAATGAGATCTAGAGAGAGAGACAGAGCGATGGAGGGCTTGTTTGGGAAAAAAATACTCATGGGTTGGGACCATTACGTTAAATTTGGTTCTAATCAATAAAAATGAGGTTATGGGGGCTTGTTGGTGGAAAATTATTCAGTGGCCTTGGGATCACCCTGGGTTATTTGGTTATGATTAATTGATGAGGTATAAATAATTTAAGTATTTTTAACTTTTGCTTGTGATTATAAACTTTTAACTTACTAAAAAAAGAACCAAATATGCTCATTTTTTAGATTTAGTCACAACTAATTATTATAGATCAAATCTGTACAAGTGAGGTCCCAACAAAAAGAAAATTCAGGCTCATTTTAATTAATTTAGATAATTATAATTGATTAAGATCAAAATTAATGTAAAATCACCAAAAACAGACATCCTCAATTGGAGAGCATGGAATCCAAGTGGGGGTGGGGGCCAATAAGGAATTGTCTGTTCAGTTAGGGGCACTGCACACCCTCTATGCCCCATAGTTGGCTATTTACTAGACCAATGCAAGCCAGGACCACACCACCCTCCACCCTATATAAACAACCTTCCACTTGCCCTTCAAGCTTCAATTCAATTCAAATATATTCACCTGGGTGAGAAAGTGAGAACTACCCTTCTTTCTCTCTCCTCTCTCTCACTAAGAAGTGAAAGATAAAGAATAGAGATGAAGATGAGCAGTGCTAGCATGGGAGGGTCCAAGAGGAGGATTTCAAGCAGAGGACTTGGAGGGGTCCTAAAAGAGCAAAGGACTAGGCTCTACATAATAAGGAGATGTGTGGTCATGCTACTGTGCTGGCATGATTGAATACTTTGATGCCATCGACATCGGCAACGACGATGACGAGAAATTTTTTTTTTTTGGAGGGGAAAGTGTATATAGTATCGACGGATTTTGTTAGAGAGTTAACAATTTTTTTGGTACCAATTGGCCCCCTTGGGGAGTTGGGCTTGATGTAAATCGGATAGTTTGAATTAAACCTATGGTTTGACAAATTTGAAGTGTGTTAATATTGTTCTTTTATTTTTTATAATTCGCTCTCTCTATGCCTGTCTATCTTGCTTCTCTTCTTTTCCAATTTAGATCTCTCTCTCTCTCTCTCTCTACCATTGTTGGATCGAAAATTTCAAGAGTTGAATAGTTTTGTGTGGCCATGCTATTGGGATGCAGATTTTTTTGTACATTAGAGATCGTAGTTTGAAAAGGGAGAAGAATGACTCTGAAGATTAAACCACAATCGAGTAAATTAAATCCTCTCAATATGGTCAAAATTACGTATCCTTGACATTTTATTTTGTTTCACACCTAAATTATTTAAGTACGCTAAAAAGTATTTAAGATTTAAGCCATACAAACAAACACCTATTAAATGGGTTATGGATGTAATTTATTTAAAATAATAACAATAAAAATGAGTGTTCTGTTGTATGATTTAAATTGTTCAAATTTTGAGGAAATTTTTTCTTTTTTATTATATTAGGCTTCAATGATTATTACATGAACAAAAATTAAAAACTTCAAAAACTAAATATATAAAATTGATAATTTAGAGATGAAGTAAAAAAAATAATATAAGAGATTAAAGTAAAATGAACTCTTGAAAAAAAAAAAATCAAATTTGGCTGATTTTCCTTTAAAGTGAATTGATCAAATGAGCAACCTATGTTTTATAACTACAATCATTGGAAGAAAGAGGAAAGCAAGGTTAAGGGTTTGTCCCAATTGGCATTTTGGACTATCATGTGTGTGGACCCATTAATCATATAAAGTGTTGGTCCTAATAATTTTTCTCATAATCACACAATTCAAACTAAATCTCTACACACACACACACACACACACACACACAAAATTGAACCCTTTTGGAAGGCATGTCCAAGAAGCAAAACTAGGGCTTCACACACACACACAAAATTGAACCCTTTTGGAAGGCATGTCCAAGAAGCAAAACTAGGGCTTCATTATTAATAATGTTTTAATTTCACATGCTTATGAATACTTGCATGCCAAAATTGCAATTAGAACCTTCTTTATTCGAGTCTTAATCGTGGTTCCAATTCTCCAAAAATAAAATTAAAACAAAGGGTAAATTACATTTTGCATCCCCGTATTTTGCACCAAATTTTGGCTCTTACACATGAAATTATAACAGTTAACTCTCTACACTTCTGGTCAAATCTCACTTTGATCCCTACACATAGAATCGTGATAGTCAACTCCCTGCATTTTTATTCAAATCTCACTTTAGTCCCTACACAAGTGTCAATGTCTCTCTTCTGTTACTTTATTTTAAAATTTTTAACAAAATCCAATCATATGACAAAAATATGACTACAAAATGAGGGTAAGAGAGGAAAATTATCCATGTTTCCCACAAATATACTTTTTCCTATGTGATAAGTAAATGAGAGTTATTCGTAAGGTAAAAATTAGACGAAAATGTAAGAAAGTAGAACTTTTGAAATTAAAAAAAAAATCAAAGAGAAAGAAAGATAGACAAAAGACTATGTTATCATGAAAAACAGAGTTTTGTAATTTTAATTTATGCAAAATTGTAGTTCATTTGCCTAATTGTTCACAATCAGCGTTTTGTTTTAACCTAATACAGTCATATTTTAATGTAAATTTTGGGATAAAGTGTGTATTGGTGGAAAATTTTCTTACCCTCCTGTCGTATTCACATGATTAGATTTTGTTAAATATTTAAACAATTGAGCAACAGAAAGAGGATATTGACATTTGTATATGGACCAAAGTCAAATTTAACCAAAAGCACAGGAGGTTAGCTGTCACAATTTCATATGCAGGGGCCAAAGTGGGATTTGACCAAAAGTGCAGGGATTTGACTGTCATGATTTTATGTGTAGGGATCAAAGTGAGATTTAGTACAAAATATAAAGGTGCAAAGTATAATTTACCCTAAATTAAATTAAATTGATTGTTTATAAAACTATGGGATTTTTTTTTTTGAGGGGGGGGACCAAACTACATTTACACATTCAGATTTGTTTGGCTTGATTTTCACAATTTATTTTTAAATTTTTTTTCAAAAAAACTAGAAACAAATTTGTTAAAAAAATATTAATAAAAAACATTCATTATTTTAATATAATTTTACCTTTTGTTTGGAGGCAAAATAATTTTTAAAAATTTAATATTTATTTTTGAAAAAATTAGTGAAATATCCCTTTTTAACTTTTAGTAGTAAAAGAGATCCAGTATATTTTTTCTTATTAGTTAAGATTTCTCAATAATATTATTAGAGAAATTTCAATGTTTCGGTAACAAGTTAAAATTTTTGTGTGAAAATTTTAAAATTTCTAGTAAAAAATAACTCCTCAAATTGATTTAGAAAGTAAGTATATGATGGCAATGTGATATGATCTATCAACAATAAGGTTCATTTTGGTAACTAAAAAAAAAAAAAAAAACAAAGCCCACCTCTTTTAAATTATGTCAAATTTTTTTATTTTTTTGGTTCATTTTGTCGAGACGATTTTAAAAAATATATATTTTTTGAAAAATTTCAGAACAAAATCAATAAAGACAAAAATAAGTAAAAAAAGATTACTTATTTTAGGTTTTTTTATTTTTTTTTGGATTTTTAAGAAAATTTTGAGTAGATTTTTAATTATTTTTTTGAGCTTATAATATATATATATATATATATATATTTTTCTGAATTCAGTTTTGACGTTTTGTTTTGTGGCAAAAAAACTCTTTGGTGGGCCATATGAATTATTGAATCCAACTCATATTCACGTGCGCCACGTGTACGGTTAGACAAGGACATGCTATCAACAGTATACTCTTTTGTCTGATTTTTGCCTTGCAAGAGAATAATAACCAGAACAATTATTTAAGAAATTTGGTCAAAATTCCTCAATATAATTTTGATAAAATTATTAAAAAATTCAAGGTAGCAATTGTTTAAAATATTAGGTTCAGTGGATATTTTTTTATTAGAGAGTGATCTATCCATTATAAAATAGTTTGGTAAGAAATATTTTTTATTATTTTGAAGGATATTTTGTTTTCAATTTTATTATAATTTATCTATTTATTTTTTTGACTATCTGTTTAAATTTATATCTATTTGTTCAAAATTTTTGACTATCTATTCAATTTTTTTTTCCTTAAATTATATTTTCCCCTAACTTCTATCTATCTGTTCAATTTTTTCCCCATATCTATTCAAACTTTAAACAAACACATAGATTTGTTCAACAACAATAATTTTTTATCTATTCAATTTTTTTTAAATTTATATGTTTACTATTAAAAATTTTGACATATTGCTATTTGTTGGACCAAACAAACCCTATCTGCTCAAATTTTACACATATCTCTTCAATGCTATTATAGATCTGTTCAGATCTAAGTCAACATTCTTCATCATCATCAACAACAACAACAACCGGCAATAACTAACTACAAAAAAAAATTAAAATAAAAAGAGATAAAAGAGAGAATCGGCTGACCTGCTCACAAAAAAACCTGTTCACAAAAAAAAAAAAAAAAACAAACAGACAAACTTAGATTGGGGACAACCATGGCAACTACCATTCTACAATTGTGGTTCGCTAAGAATGAAGCAAAACAAATCAAAAAGTGATGATTACAAAAAAATAAATAATTAAATAATTAAAAAAATAAGAAATGGATTGAAATTCATAGATATGAGAATCTAAATGTCCATTTATGGTCAATTAGAACTAATGAATCAGAATGAGTAAGGAACTTATAGAACTAGATCTAAAATGGAACCTCCAAATCTGGATTTGGATCTGGATCTAGAACTTCAAAATTTAAGAGAGAGAAGAGAAAATAGAGACACTGTTTGTAACAACCCCAACCTGTGATCAGCTTATAACCTATGATTAAGAATGCCTAATAAGTAATTAACAAGAATTCTGAATCAATTACATGTGTAATGCATTATTTGTGTTTATATCTGTTTGTTGTGGAAAGATTTGTCTGTGTTTCTGCTTCTTAATGTGAATTAAAGGCCTTATCGGCATCCGATCATGAAATTGACTCGGTATATGTGTTATTTAGAATTTTTAGGATTTTATGGTAAATTTAATTGAAATTCGATTCGGAACGAAACAATTAGATTATATTCAATTAGACTTAAGCTTCATTATCTATCTTTAATTATATTTTGATGAAACTAGCCTTTTAAAGGATAATTGGACTCCACTAGCTCATTTTAAACTTCTTTATTTTCTCATTTTTTAGCCTTCAATCGTTAGAGAGAGAGAGGAGAAAGAAATCAAGCTCAACTGGGGAGATTGCTAGGGAATTTAAAGGAATTGGCTAGAACTTAGTTAGAATTTGAGAAGTTGGAAAGAATCACTTAAGAATTCAAGGAATTGAGGTTTGTAGGTAAGAAATCCAACCCTTAAGTTATGTAGCTGACTCACTCACCTTGTGGATTCAGAAGATAATGAAAGATTAATGCATGAAATGAACTAATGAAGTAGGAAAAAAGAAGATTAGAGCATGGACGTGCATTTCATGGTATTTTGAAGTTGATTTCAAGCAATTCTTCTACGTTTTTAACTTAATTAAGAGGCTTCATCATGTTTTTCATCGATTTACCTTGTTTGAGCATGATTCGAAAGGTTTAAGTTCGAAGAAATTACATGCATGTTTGTACCATGAGTTTTGAGTTTGAATTTGACATAATTGGCATGCTTTTGGCATTGATTTTGCAAAATGATTATGAATTCACAATGTGTTATAAGTTTACATATGTTTGCTCAAGTTTTGGGCTCAAAAGGATGTGTTTTGTTAATTTGAATTTAAGTTTTGAAGGTTAAACAACAATTTGGAAATTCCAGAATTTGCACCCTCTGCTCGAGCGGTGGAGTCTGCGCTTGAACAGAGAATGCGAGTTCTCAGTACTTTTGCAGAGTGTGGGGGTTGGCTCGACAGGTAGAATCTACGCTTGAGCAACCACCTTTGTTTTTGACCATCCACTCGAGCGACAGAAGTCTATGCTCAAGCATAAAATAAGAGCTCCAAGAAGTTTTACAAACTTTTACAGATTGTTAGGAAGTTGCGCTCGAGTGAGACCCTTTTCACTCAAGTCTTGTGCTCGAGCGACTGTCGAGTGTCTATCGAGCGAAAAAATCATGTAACCAGTACTTTTGTAGCCTTCATAGACTACTCGAGTGGCAGAAGTTGAGCTCGAGCGGATTGCCTTGTTTTTTTAGAAATTTGGCTAACTATTTCAAAGCACATTTTGTCATCCTCATTGCATCTTAGACATCCCTAAGTCCTAGTTAAGACATAATAATGAGGGTACAGATTAGAAACACACTAAGATAAAATGAATTGAGTTAAGTGTTTGTCGAGCATGTGTTTCAGTGTGTGTGTCTGTTATCTGTTTATGTAGGTTATGCACTGTGAGCTATGTGATCTGTCTGTTCTGTTTGTCTATTTTCGGAACCAACTGTAAGTAATAACTTAGTAAAGCTATGTTCAACTTTATTTATCTTCTGTATGATGAAATAAGATATGTTTTCTGAAATGCTATGTTCTGTACAATGAATGATTGTCCAATTTCTGAAATGTATTCGTGGCATCCTTAGCATTATGTGATATCTGTTAGCTGTTACCCGGTATCGGAAGTTCTATTATGGAACTTAATAGGTCTGTAATTTGTTACCCGTACCGGAGGCTCCCTCATGGAGCTCAGCATATATGTTATCTGTTATCTGGATCCGGAGGTTCTTTTATGGAACTGGTTACTTATAACCACCATCTGTTATGTATATGCTCTGTATCTGTTCTGTTAACGCTAATGGATGTACTGTTAACACTAATTGATGTACCACATATGATTAAGCATGAGACTCTGATTTTTGTATATGATTTGAACAAGAATATGAATCTGAATCTGAATCTGAATCTCTTTCCGAATCTGATATGTGACATCATTCAAGTAAACCCCTTACTCTGTTATTATTCACTAGGCTCTTGCTCACTCTATTATTTATGTATATATGTGATCAGGCGCGTGACCGGGCTCAATGATGATTACCTGGAATTCTGTTTTGTTGGCCAACCTTTGTGCCTCCAAGGAGGTTTCGGAAAAGTCGAGTGGTCATGTCTTGTGAATGAAGTTTAAGATCTTGTTTTCTTTTTGTTAATTTCAAACAAGTTTCTGTTTATCTATACATTGGGCTAAGTTTCCTTTTTGGCTTTATCTGTAAGTGTGTGTGATGCAAGACTAATATATATACAGTTTTAAATTTCTATCCCATGTATGTCTACACAGCTTAATGGACTACATATATTTTATATATCTGCTTCCGTAGACCTTTATTATGTGTTAATTTGTTCAGAGGCTTTTAGTAATCCTAAGATTACTGACCAGTTATGACACTAAACCTATATGAGCGGGTTTGGGTCGTTATAGAGTGGTATTAGAGCACGAGTTATACCGCACCCATGAGTCTATATGAGCTATAGGACATCCTAGAAAAAAATTAGGGACGTTTCATCTGCATATATGAGTGTCTGTTAATTTCTGTAAATGTGAAAACTGAATTTGAATATGAACATATGAAATTGAAAGAAATGAACTTACTCCGAACATTGTGAACAAGATTATTCCTATGTTTATTATTTCCTTGTTTACCTATAGCAATATGGAAAATGCAAAGAGTAATGATACAACTGAATCTTCCAAAGCCCGAATAAGCCGAATAGAACAAATGCTTACAACCTTAACATAATCTTTGAGGTAACAACCTTTGCCCTCTCTGCCAGTGCAAGTTGAATCGGATACCAATGGTATTATCAACCTAACTTAGAAGTTCATGAAGATGAAACCGCCAACTTTCTTAGGTGGTATTGATCCATTAAAGGCAGAGACATGGTTACTTGAAATGAAAAACTTATTTGAAGTCTTTCCCTGCTCTGAGACTCAGAAAGTTCTTTTGGCCACCTATACCTTAAAAGATAAAGCCCGAAGATGGTGGTTGTTAATTCGAAATGGCAATGGGAGCATGACATGGGTTCAATTCAAAGAAATCTTCTATGACAAGTACTTTCCTTAGTGCTTTCGCGACTGAAAATTTTTTGAATTTCAAGAACTCAAGCAAAGCAACATGTCAATAGTAGAGTACGAGGCTAAGTTGACAAAGTTAGCCTAGTTTGTACCCCACATGGTTGACATGGATTACAAGAAAGCCCGGAAGTTTGAAGGAGGCTTAAATCTGGATATCTTTGATTGGGTGAGAGTGTTAAAGCTGCCTACATATGTGGACGTTCTTGACAAAACCTTAATGGCTGAAGGCAACCTAGCAACCCTGAAGCAAACCAAGGCCCTAATAACAACAACAATAGAATGTGGAGGTAAGAGGTCTGGGTATGGTTTCAAAAATGGCCGCCCCTTTGTAAACAAAAAGCAAAACATGGGGTCTATAAGTAGCTCAAGTCAGAGCAGTGGGTCTATTTCAGTTTGTCCTGATTGTGAAAGGAAGCATAGAGGTGTGAATTACCGTGCATCTAGTGCCTGTTTCTGATGTGGCAAGACAGGCCATATAATGAAAGGTTGTCCGCTTGGGTTTGATAATGCCAACCGTTCTGTGGCAAGTTCAGCCGGATCCACCTCTACATGTAGAACAAATATAACTGCAAACACTGGGAGAAAAACCTTAGGACAAGGCCGAGCTTTCGCACTAGTGCCTGGTGATGTACAGAACACCGAAATTGTGGTGTCAGGTATAATTTTCATCTGTGGCCTAGTGATGTACAGAACACTGAAATTGTGCTGTCAGGTATAATTTTCATCTGTGCTTAGAACATGTATGTGTTAATAGACTCTAGCTCTACACATTCTGTTGTGTCACATGCTTTTTCATGAAAATTGACTAGACCATTAGAACCTATGAATTATTTACTATCTGTATCTACACTATTTGGAGGTTCTATGTTATGTTATGTTTATCTGGCATGTGATGTTGTGATTGGTGATAGGATGTTTAAATCATATCTGAATGAATTTGTTGTTGTATTTATTGACGATATTTTAATGTGCTCTAAAAGCAGGAAAGATCATGAGAACCATATGAGAATTATGCTACAAACTTTGAGAGAAAAGAAATTGTATGCAAAACTCTCTAAATATGAATTATGGCTAGACAATGTGACATTTTTAGGGCATGTAATCAATAAGGATGCATCTCTGTTGACCCACAGAAAATCGAAACTATTGTAGATTGGCCAAGACCAACTAATGTATCTGAAGTAAGAAGCTTTTTAGGGCTTGCAAGTTATTATTGCAGATTTGTGAAAGATTTCTTAAAACTTGTTATGCCATTGACATAGTTGACACGAAAAAAATGTACCATTTGATTGGAATGATCAGCGGGAGTCAGCCTTTCAAGAACTAAAGACTAGATTGGTAATTACACCAATTTTGACTTTGCCTAATAGTATTGATGGGTTTCAAATTTATAGTGATGCTTCATACAAAGGCTTGGGGTGTGTGTTAATGCAAAATGTGAAGGTGATTGCGTATGCTTCTCGGCAACTTCGACCACATGAAAAGAATTATCTAACCCATGACCTTGAATTGGCAGTCGTGGTCTTTGCATTGAAAATTTGTCGCCATTATCTGTATGAAGTGACTTGTGAAGTGTATACCAATCATAAAAGCTTGAAATATTTCTTTACTCAGAAAGAGCTGAATATGAGACAGAGATGATGGCTTGAATTGATGAAAGATTATGACTTGCAAATTCTGTACTATCCGGGAAAGGCAAATATAGTGGCAGATGCTTTAAGCCGGATTCAATTGGGAATTCGTCACGTTTGCTCACCGATCAAAGATAGTTGTTATGTGATTTGGAGAGGAATGAGATTGAAATTGTGTAGCGCAAACATGGCGGAATTCTATCCGCCATCTCTGCCCAACTTGCAATTATCGAAGAAATTAGAGAGAAGCAGTTGCAAGATGAATTTTTGAAAAAGATTGTGAATAAAATTGAACCAAAACCGAGGCTGGGATTTGTGATTAAAAATTATGTGTTGAAATTTCAGGGTAGACTTTGTGTACCGGATTATGCAGACGTAAGAAAATGTATTATGATTGAAGCTCACAACTCTAAATTTGCTATACATCTGGGGAATACAAGGATGTACCATGACTTGAAACAAAATTTATAGTGGCATGGAATGAAGAAAAGTATTGCTGATCTTGTGGCTAGGTGTTTACATCGCCAACAGGTAAAAGCCAAACATCAACGATCCGCTGGATTACTTTAGCTACTTCTAATACCAAAATGGAAATGGGAGCACATTACGATAGACTTTATTGTTGGATTGCTTTACTCCTCTCGTGGTATGGATTTTATTTGGGTCATTATTGATCGTTTAATTAAGTCTGCCTATTTTCTGCCTGTTAAAACTTTTTATAATGCGGATAAGTTAGCTAACATTTATATGAATGAAATTATGATATTGCATGGGGTATTTGTATCCATTGTATCTGATATAGATCCTAAGTTCACTTCAAGATTCTGGCAGAGTTTGCAACAAGCTTTGGAGACTGAATTGAGACTGAGTAGTGATTATCGCCCGCAGACAGATGGCCAATCAGAAAGAACGATACAAACTTTGGACGATATTCTCAGAATGTGTGTCCTAGATTTCCAAGGGAATTAGGAGACTTATCTGCCTCTGATCGAATTTGTATATAACAATGGCTATAACTCAATCATTGAAATGGCTCCTTACGAAGCTTTGTATGGTATGAAGTGTCGTTCTCTAATTTGTTGGGCCGAAGTAGGCGATAAACTGTTATTGGGACCAGAACTGGTCCAAAAGACCAAGAAGGTAAAGTTAATACAACAACATTTGAAAACTGCACAGACTCGACAAAAAGAGTTATGCAGATGTCCAAAGGCGAGACAGAGAATATAAGGTCGGAGACCATGTGTTTATTAAAGTGACTCCAATGATAGGTCAGACACGATTTGGGATGAAAGACAAATTGACACCAAGATACATTGGGCCATATGAAATTCTTGAGAAAATCAACTCGGTGATGTATCGAGTAGCCTTACCGTCAGTCATGGAGCAAATGCACAATGTTTTTCATATTTCTATGCTTCGAGATTATCAACGAGATCCGTTACATGTGATTGAACCAACTTATGTGCTTTTGAAAGATGATTATACTTACGAGGAACGACCAATTCAGATTGTCAATCGAAGGATCAAAAGTCTAAGAAATAAAGAGATTCCACTGGTGAAAGTTGACTGGAAAAACCACGGAGGAACTTACGCAACATTGGAGACAGAAGAAGATATGATGAAAATATACCCTGATTTATTCCCTCTAGATCCGGCATTCTTCCACAACGAAAGTAACTCGAGTTTGGAGGACCAAACTCTTTAAGGGGGGAATACTATAACAACCCTAACCTATGATCAGCTTATAACCTATGATTAAGAATGCCTAATAAGTAATTAAGAAGAAATTTTGAATTAATTACATGTGTGATGCATTATTTGTGTTTATATCGGTTTGCTGTGGAAAGATCTGTCTATGTTTCTGCTTTTTAATGCGAATTGAAGGTCTTATCGACATCCGATCATGAAATTAACTCAGTATATGTGTTATTTAGAATTTTTAAGATTTTGTGGTAAATTTAATTGAAATTCGATTCGGAACGAAATGATTAGATTATATTTAATTAGACTTAAGTTTCATTATCTATTTTTAATTATATTTGACTAAACTAGCCTTTTAAAGGATAATTGGACTTTACTAGCTCATTTTAGACTTCTTTATTTCCCCATTTTTTAGCCTTCAATCATTGGAGAGAGAGAGGAGAAAGAAATCAAGCTCAACTAGGGAGATTGCTAGAGAATTTGAAGGAATTGGCTCTAACTTAGTTAGAATTTGAGAAGTTGAGAGGAATCACTTAAGAATTCAAGGAATTGAGGTTTGTAGGTAAGAAATCTAACCCTTAAGTTATGTAGTTGACTCACTCACCTTGTGGATTCAGAAGAAAATGAAAGATTAATGCATGAAATGAACTAATGAAGTATGAAAGAAGAAGATTAGAGCGTGCATATGCATTTCATGGTATTTTGAAGTTGATTTCAAGCAATTCTTCCATGCATGTCATGCTTTTAACTTAATTATGAGACTTCATCTTGTTTTCCATCAATTTACCTTGTTTGAGCATGATTTGAAAGGTTTAAGTTCGAAGAAATTACATGCATGTTTGTACCATGAGTTTTGAGTTTGAATTTGACATAATTGGCATGCCTTTGAACATTGATTTTGCGAAATGATTTTGAATTCACAATGTTTTCTCAAGTTTTGGGCCCAAAATGATGTATTTTGTTAGTTTGAATTTGAGTTTTGAAGGTTGAACAACAATTTGGAAATTCTAGAATTTGCACCATCCGCTCGAGTGGTGAAGTCTACGCTCGAGCGGCGAATGCAAGTTCTCAGTACTTTTGCAGAGTGTGGGGGTTAGCTCAAGCAGCGGAACCTGTGCCTGAGCGACCACCCTTGTTTTTGACCATTCGCTCGAGCGACAGAAGTTTGCGCTCGAGCATAAAATGAGTGCTCCAAGAAGTTTTACAGACTTTTACAAACCACTTGAACGTAGGAAGTTGCGCTTGAGCGAGACCCTTTTTACTCAAGTCTTGCACTTAAGCGACCGTCTTGCATCCATCAAGCGGAAAAATCATGCAACTAATACTTTTGTAGACTTCACAGACCGCTCGAGCAGTAGAAGTTGTGTTTGGGCGAACTGCCCTGTTTTAAAAGTTTGGCTAAGTGTTTCAAAGTACATTTTGGCATCCTCATTGCATCTTAGGCATTCCTAAGTCCTAGTTAAGACATAATAATTAGGATAAGGATTAAAAACACACCAAGATAAAAAGAATTAAGTTAAGTGTTTTTCGAGCATGTGTTTCTGTGTGTGTGTCCGTTATCGATTTATGTAGGTCACGCGCCGTGAGCTATTTGATTTGTCTACTCTATTTGTCTGTTTTGGGAGCCAACTGTGAGTAATAACTTAATAAAGTTATGCTCAACTTTATTTATTTTCTGTATGATGAAATAAGATCTGTTTTCTGAAATGTTATGTTCTGTACAATGAATGATTGTCCAATTTCTAACATGTATTCGTGGCATCCTTAGCATTATGTGATATCTGTTAGCTGTTATTTAGTATCGGAAGTTCTATTATGGAACTTAATATGTCTGCAATCTGTTATCCGTACTGAAGGTTCCTTCATGGAGCTCAGCATATATGTTATTTGTTACCCAGATCTGGACATTCCTTTATGGAACTAGTTACTTATAACCACTATCTGTTCTGTATCTGTTCTGTTAGCGCTAATGGATGTACCACATATGATTAAGCATGAGACTCTGATTTCTGTATATGATTTGAACAAGAATATGAATCTGAATCTCTTTTCCGAATTTGATATGGGACATCATTCAAGTAAACCTTTTACTATGTTATTATTCATTGGACTCTTACTCACTCTATTATTTATGTATGTAGGTGATCAGACACGTGACCGGGCTCAATGATGATTGCCTGGAATTCTATTTTGTCGGCCAACCTTTGTGCCTCCTGAGGAGGTTCCGAAAAAGTTAAGTGGTCATGTTTTGTGAATGAAGTTTAAGACCTTGTTTTCTTTTTGCTAATTTTGAACAAGTTTTTGTTTATCTGTATATTGGGCTAAGTTTCTTTTTTGGCTTTATCTGTAAGTGTGTATGACGTAAGACTAATGTGTGTATATATATATATATATATATATGACGCCACATGTATGTATATACAGTTTTAAATATATGTCCCATATATGTCTGCACAGCTCAATGGACTATGTATGTTTTATGTATCTACTTCTGCAGCCCCTTATTATGTGTTAATTTGTTTAGACGCCTTTGGTAATCCTAGTATTACTGGCCGGTTATGGCGCTAAACCTATAGGTGCGGGTTTGATTCATGACACTGTTTATCTCAGACCAAATTAGCTTAGTCTTTTTTGACGAAAGATCTGCAATGCTCAGCCTCAGATTGACCCTAACAAGGCCCATCAGAAAGAGATCTAAGGAGAGCAAGGTGGTGAGCAAAAACCAGAAAGAGAGATAAGGGTTTGGGGAAATGGAGGGTTGAGGAGAGAGAAGAGATGAGTGAGAAAGAGAGACAGACCTCAATCACGGCGATGGAGTCAGCCTCTCTTCGAGATCTAATAGCAACTGAGCAATCAAGTGTAAGCCTAAAATCGATCTTACTTCAACCCACCAACGGTGAAGGAGTCAAAGTGGCGAAGGGCGATGTCGATATCGACAACGATGCCGGTACGAGCGATGACGACTGAGCGATGTAGGGTTTTGAATCTCTCTTTCTCTCTCTTTCTCTCTCTTGCTTGCTCGCTCGCTCCGTAAAATGGTTCTCTCTCTATTGCTCCGCGAAACAGTTGATAAGGATATATATGGGTAATTTGGTCATTTAGCACAAGCATGTCCTTATGTACATAATAGTTATGCGTGTGGATTTTTGGGCAGAAACAATTCAAATATGGATTTATAGCTTAAACGCCAAATAATTTTTTAATGGCAAAAGGATATCTTAATTGTTTTCAATTTTTTCTTATTAAAAAAAATTATTTTCAATTTTTTAAGAGGCACTGTTGCTATTAATACTCACATAATTTATTTTGTATTTCTTATTTTTCCTTTTACTCTATTTAACTACTTTTAAATTTTTTAATTTTCTTTAGTATACCGCTTAGGCCCCATTTGGCAACTTAATAAAATAGTCAAAAAGTCATTACACAAAGTCAACTCTTCCACTTTACTTTTCTATGTCTTTTCGTTTAAAATAAAAATAAAAAAAGTTCACATTGCAATTCCTAACCTCACCTTTACTTCCAGCATATAAACACCCTATTTTGACTAGCCTTAAGACTTGAGTGCTTTCTTCTGAACACTTGATAATGAAGATTAGAATGTGCTATGTTACGAATTTCTCAGCAGAAAAATCAGGTTTGAGCTTTAATTCCAACCTTACACCCATTTTGGACAAATTATTTTAGACCTATTCAAAAATATTTTTTCTGAATTTTTTCTTTTCCTGAAAATTTAGCAATTTTAGAAAATCAACTCTCACACCACATGGCAAGCCACATGGTTTTGAGATACCACATGGCAAACCATGTGTTTTTGAAAATACCACATGGTTGGCCATGTGTTTTTAGTGTTTGAGAGCTTTATAAATATCCCATCATTTTGTTGTTTTGAAGACGATGGAAAAAAAAGGAAAAAAAAAAAAAATTTTTTTGAAAGAGAAAACTTTGTTTCAAAAAAAGAGAAAATTTTGGTTAAAAGAATTTTTGTTTCAACAAATCTTGTGCCTTTCTATCTGCTAATATTTACCACCCAAAACTTTTATTAAAACTTAAACTTGCAATTTCTTGTTGAGATTTCAAAGCATACTCCATAACCGTGAGGGTGTTATGAAGAAAGTTTGGTAATCAGAAAATTCATAATTTCCCCCAAATGTGAGATTTCGCAACTTTCTCATTTATTTTCTTACGTTTTCTTTAATGTTTTAAATATGTAGTTTTTCTATTTTAATAATGATATAATAATAAATATTTGTATATTATTATTATTATTATTATTATTATTATTATTATGTTTGTTTATATTATATTATTATATTTACTATATTTGATTTGTTAGATTTAGCTTAGGTTTGAGTTAGATAGCACCTACCTTTTTCATTTGAACCCCATATTTTTATTTTTTTTTTAATTTCAATTTTGTTCAAACATGAAGTTACATTTTTACCCTTATCCTAAACATTCTAACCATAATTTTCCAAACCCTACCCCATCAACCGTTTCACCACCATCTCTTCCTCCACTATCACCACCACCACCCACCACCACCTCTGTCCCGCCGACGAGCTTTTCTACACAGGCCAACTCCTTCCCCTCCACCTCTCCATAGTTTGCATCCTTTTCCTCTCCTCCTCCGACACCACCACCACTGCCTCTCTCTCGAGTCCATCGCCAATACCACTATCGACTACGATTTCTTCCGACCCAGCTCCATCGCCAAAGACGACGAACTCAAACACCTCAACACCACCTTCCACCACCACTACCAGATCAAAAAGCCCAAGTACTTCTTTCTCTCTCTAGATTCTCTTATATTTTTCGTAAATCCCGTGACTTCGACGATAACCTATCTGGGTCCTCTGTCAAACGTATAAGCGCAACAGCCAAGAACGACGATGAACTATACGGACAACACGAGGGTGAAGAATTTGTTCATTATATCAGTGAAATCTATCAAGGGAAGGCTGAATCAGTTACCTTCTTCTTGTGTCGGAGACATGGTGATAGCCA